GGCTGTGAGCAAGCTACCAGTGATTGAGCAACTTTTGGTGGATCACAACTTAGACATACTATTTCTCAGTGAAACTTGGTTCCATCATTCATTGCTAGATGCCGTCCTGACGCTAGATGGCTACACCCTCTTTAGACGAGATAGGCATAAGGCAGTACTAATATATTTTATTAATGCGATTAATAGTATAAGTGAAGCGGACATTACAAAATGATGAATGAGAATACATGTATCTAAAATGGTTGTTCCTAATCGATTTTCTTGAGACTATCATCAGGGAAAAATCGTCTCACAATAGAGGCTATACGGAGAAACAAACTACTTATAGGTAAGAAAATCGATTAGGAACAACCATTTTAGATACATGTATTCTCATTCATCATTTTGTAATGTCCGCTTCACTTATACTATTAATCGCATTAATAAAGTTATTGTCTCCTCGTCGCCTTTTCATTTACTAATATATTCCTCAATGGGGGGAGAGGGGGCCCGGGGGGTAGCAGTCTATCTACGCTCTTCCCTTGCTCCATACTTCTCTCGCTGCTCCCAACTTGAATCTCCATGCCTAGAAGATATCTGTTCACTTTACCATAAGTTTCACAGCCCTGCTAGTCCCCTCTGTTCCTTTCACCTTTTCTACAGACCCCCGCATTCCATAGCGGCCCAACGTGAAACATTTTTTCATGCTTTCCATGCCACTGTCACCCGACACCTTGACTACGAAGCCTTGGTTCACTGCCCAGTACAAGCGAATGCACCGGAACAAAAACTGTATTTTCAAATTAGCCCAGAGAACGAAAGCGCTGGAAGACTGGTTAGCGTACAAGATGGTGAGAAATGCTCTTACAAACTGTCTTAAACGCAGCAAATCCCTCTATTTCGAAGAGCTTTGCTCGCGTATTGATAGCGACAAAAACTGTTACAAATGGTGGGCCGAGGCCAAGAAAATTGCCCAGATCAGCAAGAAGCGAGCGACCATCCCGACCCTCAGCCGGTTGATGATTGTGGAGATGCGGCTTGTGATTCTTCTAAAGCAGAAGCACTGGCCCGTTGCTTCAAAATCCAGTTCTCCCCAAATCCGTCATTTGACCCGTGTGCTACCACCCTACCGCCAGCACAATTTACACCAGATCTCCAGTTTCAATTGCCAAACATAACCCAGCACGAAGTCTTCCGCAAACTGCGCACTCTGCCCAAGCACAAGTCTGTGGGCGGGGATATCACGAACGTCATACTAAGAGAAGTGGCACCCGTGATAACGCAGTCCCTGTGCCATCTCTTCAACACTAGTCTCCGCCTCGGGCAGCTACCTAGTGACTGGAAGTTGGCTACAGTCATACCTATCTACAAAGAGAACGGCAAACCTGCGGAGCCAGCTAGCTACAGGCCTATCTCCCTGCTGCCGGCCATAGTTAAGATTCTGGACGCCATCATCGCCAAGTACCTCACCAGCTTTCTCAATAGGCAGGGATTAATTACCGACCACCAGTATGGCTTTGTCTCCTGCAAGTCGACACTCGATCAGCTAATTGTCCTGTCTTCAAGAGTGGCTGAAGCACTCGACAAGCGCACTGACTACCACGCTCTATTCTTGGATTTCGCGAAAGCGTATATTCCCTGAAGCCGTTTCTTGGTTCACCAACTACCTCAGAGACCGTTCCTTCTGTGTCAAAGTTCTCTCTGCCAAGTCGCCGACCCACCCAGTTTCTGCAGGCGTTCCCCAGGGATTAGGGTCCGGCGGATTCTGACGGCAGAAAAATTGGCAGAATTCGGTACTTTTCTGGTAAATTTCACGCATGTTTGGTATGTGGATAAAAAAATGGAGCAGAATTCGAGGAATTGCCCGCCATAAGGTTTGTATGGTTCCGCTAATTTCACTGCTTTTCGAGCAGAATCTGCCACCTTTTCGAGCAGAATCCGCCGGCCCCTACCAGGGATCTCACCTTGGCCCCATTCTTTGCATTCTCTACATTAACGCCCTTCCTCGCACCATATCGTCTGATGTCACTACTGATGTGCTCTAATTTGCCGATGACACTACTCTTGGGAGAGCAGCCGGAGGACCTAACCAACAACAAAGGGTCCACCCCCCCTCCAGGCCGCCACTGATGGCGTTCTGCAGTGGGCTGATTCAGTCGGAGGGTGCTTCAACCCTTCGAAGTCTTTTGCACCATGCAGTTCTCTCCTAGAACGTAGTAGTCGTGCAGAACGTGCCCATCCCACTCATCCGACTCCGCACCTGAGAATGCAGGGAGATGACGTGTCTGATGTAACGACTCACCGACATCTTGGAGTCATCTTGGACTCTAACCTCGACTTCACCAACCACGTCGCCATCATCACGACAAAGTTTCGCCAGCGAGCAGTCCTGCTGATCCACATGACCAAGCGTATCACCCCAGCCGTAGCCAGCCGCTTGTACACTGGATATGTTCGACCTGTGGTTGAATACGCCTCATCCCTCTGGCAATTTCAACTCTCCAGTGCTGAGGCTACTAACGTTACTAGTAATACTACCCTTGAACGGCTACAGGCAAGAGTGGCACGTGTGATCCTGCGGCAGTATGGCGTGTACCCTCCTCAAACGGAGCCGAAAGCCTCACTTTTCGCGCACCTCCAGTGGCCCAGCCTCGAATGGCGCATGGCGAAGACACATTCAGTTTTTTTTAAAGTTTTTTTGACAATGCAACACAATTATTGTGGAAATTCGAAAGGTCACAACAATAAGACATTAAGAGACAAGATCACCGAAGGATGTACCCAGAGTGCTTGACAGTGCTCAACACCACAAAGGCAGAGCGTAATACACAACAGAACAACAAGGACAATCAAGGCTTGTTTGCTGCTACTTTAAGTTTCATGCTTACGCAATCATCGCAATCATCATGTTGCCTGATGATTGCGTAAGCATGAAACTTAAAGTAGCAGCAAACAAGCCTTGATTGTCCTTGTTGTTCTGTTGTGTAAGAGACAAGATCAAAAGGAAAGCTTTACAATAAAAATAATAATAAAACGACGAGTTACGTAGCCTGTAAAATGTAAAAAGTCACTGATTACAGTTCAGTGCCTTCTTTCACTTGAGCTCCACCACCTTATCAATAGCCAGATGACGACCCTGCCTACCCTGGAGGACCTAGGCTAGTACTCAGTGTCAAACAGCGCCAGACGCCCCCAACATCTACTCCCACCTGCTAGAGCCAGCACACATACCCGTGCCACCTTTCTCTTTGTCACCACTGCCACATGGAACTCCCTCCCGGCTGCCATTCGTACTGTATCCAGCCCAAAATGTTTTACCGCTCTTGTCCGCACACACTTTGCTATCACCCGTTATGAGGCCTCTGGTTTCATTCCACGTAGAGTAGCGATGTCATGGAACACTGTGTTATTATTACTACCATGTACCACCCCGCATCATTCTATTTCCTATTTTTATTTTTCTCCTCAGCTTCTTCTTCATAAGCTGTTGACGGAGACTCCCTCGATTTAGGCTAAGGCCTGTGGAGAATTCATAAATACAAATACAAATACAAAATATCCCTATTCAATAGCAGGTGTGTATAACAGCCTCATTGCCATTGGGCATCTGCCCTTGTTTTGTGAAAAAAGGATGCCATTATTTTTTTGTTCCTTCTCAAAAAGGACCTGATTATGCCAACAACTATGCCGGCATAATCCGCTTACCCCTACAAATGTAGTCCTCCGCCTTGTAACATGCAGTCATAGTGTCAGCCGATCAACATCTCTTTAGTTTGTGCATGTCACCATGTTCATGAAAACCCAGCAACACGTAGTAGTGCTAATTCCTTTCCTCTAGTATGTACTATAATGTAGTAATCAGTTTGCTTCCTCCTTTGATGACCTGCGCCCTGGTGCCGGGCTGTCACGTGTGGGCAAACAACCAACTACGCGTGGTAGGAAGCAGGGAGTAGTACAATACTTACAATACTTGGTATGTACTACTCCCTGGTAGGAAGAGTGACTGAGCAACCTCCCGCGGTTATAATTTTTTTTAGTTATCTCTTTTTCCCTCAAACCAGTTAACATTTTTTAGTTATGTTTTTAATACTTCGGCCAGTAGGCAGTATGACTGCTTCGTCCTGGCCCTGGGGTTATGGACTCTTGTCGGCAGATCTTGACCACGTAACAGGTAGTGGAGTGCTTCTCAACTCAAGCGGAGTCACACAATGACGTAGTGCTCCGGATCGGTGTTAATGTTGGTTGGTGTTTCCCGCGGAGGCCGATACTGCGATAGGCGATATCATGATCAGGCAGGATGGGATACCGCGTGGCTTCAACAGCTACTGTTGAAGTCATTAGGTGAGCTCTCTCATAACTCCTGGTTCGGCAGGTTCGATGGATACTGCACTTGCCTGCGACCCGAGAGGTCGCGGGTTCGAGCCCCGCAGTCGCACATCTGACTGCAAAATCCCCACGACGCAGCTCACCAGATCAAGGTGTGGGTCCTCTGCACTCAGTAGAGTCAAGTCGAGCGAGCTGCAACTCCCGGTGCCGAAAGGCGGGCTCACGCCCCCGACATGGCTACTTCCCCTTGTCTAGCCCCCAAGACGAAAATGATAGTAGCCGACTGGCCGAAATTAAAAAAAACAAAAAACAAAAAACGAGTCAATGGTTGCATGGCTGTGTAACACCCTCGTACCACGTAATCACACGGTGACGCCTACTACAGATAACCATGATAACTCCAAGGCAAGCACTACTACTAGTACTAGTAGTAGTAGTGCTAGCCTTGGAGTTATCTGTAGTAGGCGTCACCGTGTGCTAGTCTAGAGAGTAGAGTCTACATTGTAGGCCCTGCGCGTTCGCTTTGCCCCTGCTGCATGCTGTCCACGCTCAGGCTATGCCTGGGCGATATGCTGATTCGATCGTGAGTCGAGTACGATCGCGACAGCATAATCGTGATAAAAATGGACGTTCACAAGTTTTGCAAGGCAGAAGGCATTGCATACTGGTAAAACGCAGTCAGGAGCTAGTTTTTGGCGGCAAGAGCCCTGGACCTTTCAACATCGCTCGCTCCCGGCTCAGTGCACACGTATGTCCTTGGTGTGAATGCAAGTAATGGATATAGTCCCGGAGGTAAGAGACCATTTTTCTATTGTTATACATGTAATTATTTCAAATGGTGAACGGTACTATTCGGCCAATAAAATGTAAAGAACTCTTCCTCTCTTCTCCTCCATGCGCTCTCACAGCCGACTCACTGCTACTCTCAGTAGCCATTACACACCAACCAAGGAAGGGTTGCAGGTAGATACTGAAATTCCTCCTGACAGCTGTTTCGCCTTCATAAGGCTCATCAGAGAAGGTGATATTGAACAGGATAATATCAGGTGGAGATGGTCAGATTTATACTATCATCCTATTCAATATCACCTTCTCTGATGAGCCTTATGAAGGCGAAACAGCTGTCAGGAGGAATTTCAGTATCTACCTGCAACCCTTCCTTGGTTGGTGTGTGTAATGGCTACTGAGGGCAGCAGTGAGTCGGCTGTGAGAGCGCATGGAGGAGAGGAGAGGAAGAGTTCGTTATACATGTAGATAGTTATACTCAAGGCTTGGTTTTGATCAGAGGGCCCAACAGTGACAGGGCTCAAATGGAAAGGAGACTGACTGCGAAAGAAGAGGGAATGAACGGAAACTAAAACTACAAGAAAAGGTAGAAAAACTACTGACCTAGCGGAAGAACAGTGTACGTGTCTTAGCAAGACAACAAGCACTGGAGAAAGCGTATAAGTATAGAAGCGGCCGAGTTCTTACTAATTGTATGGTTACTTGCAGCGACACCGCGCACCGGGTGTTCACCACCTTGTCGAAAAGGAAGGCAGATTATTGAAGAGCAGTTCGCCTTCATGTGCTCGGGGTCCTGAGTAAAGCCATGCGTTGGAGGTCTTATAATCGATGCGAAGAGAGCTTTTTTTATGCGAGTCTCCAGGTTCGACTTGAAAAGGTGCACGGTTTACGCGTGTGCCCTGTATGTAGTGTTGTGCAGTGTTGAGAAACGCG